TGGTGGGAATGGCTACGGTATGGTTCTGGGGCACCCAGAGTAGCAGCTTCCTCCTTATTGCAGCTCCACTAATAAAAAAATCATTAAAATGCTATCTCAAATGTGCAAAATATTAAATTATAAATATGGAAATCTCAGGGCAAAGGAAAAGAAGAATTCCAGCAGAGAAAGCTGTCAGTGCTGAGCAGTGAGGCACCCTTTTCAGGCGAGGCGAGGCCAATGCAGAGTGGATGACAGAACCTGTCATCAGACGTATCTGTCCACTGTTGCCCTCCCCTGAAAGTTCCATGAATAGAGAAATGCAGGAAATGAAACCACCGCTCACTGAACCTACTGCTCTGCGCTTACAAAGCTGTGCTCATTTACTATTCAAAGCAAGCTGATGTGAGCTGGAAAAACCATAGTCTGAACAAACTCAAATTACTCAACAAGGGTGACAGCAAGGGAAACAAACCTGGGGTGTTGTGCCTGGATTCCTCACATCGCAGTAAACACAGCAAAGGAGAATACACATGCAGGAGGGTCAGATAAAGATGTTGCCTATAGCTGAAGGCAACTAGCCACAAGCTCTGAAATGTCCCAGTTTCCACAAGGCCTCCCTGAGGGTTTACAGAGTCAAAATCCCCACACAACTGAGGTCCACTCCTGCCTAGGATGAAGAAGTTCTACTGTGCGATTTCCAAGGTGTTTCATTTTCCACAGCATTCCACTGCTTCTCTGGAGCTGCACCCCAGCCAGCCTGAAATTCATTCTCTGGGCAGAAGGCCTGACTTCTCCCAGTGGCCACACGCTCCTTGACAATAGTCCCTTTACTGTTAGTTATTGTTTTCCTATTTTACTAAAAAGACTAGGTCTACTATGCTTTTCTTTGGGGGGTGGGCGTTGTTTGGTTTTCTGTTGTGGTGGATGTAGTTGTTATTTGAGATATTATGTAGTTCAAGCTGCATGAGAGGTCCCAACACTCTGCCTTGGTTTACCCAGTCAAGGATTACAGACATGTGGCACTGTCCTCAATTTCCACTTTCCTTTAAAAAGGAGTAGGGAAAAAAAAAAGGCTTACTAAATCATGTGTCCAAAATTCCCTCTAATACTAACAGTCATACCAGTAGGCTAAAATAAAAACTAATTGGTGAAATACATCAAAATTCACCCATGTTAGGAGTACCACTAGTTAAAAAGTAGAAAAATGACTGACATAAGATCCTACCTTAGCTTGCTAAGGAGGAAGCAGGAGAGAGCACACACACACTCATGCCACATCACAGGATGAGTCTAGGGTCCCCAGAAACAAAGGCCCTCCAAAAATAACTGTGAGACAGAGCTCCTTCCCTCTCCAGGCATCTCTGAGTATTCGCCCCTGCATCTTTGTCTCTTCTTGCAGATTATTTTCTCTATCAAATCATTTCTACATCTGTTCTAGTCTAGTAAATACTTTTTAACCCGCCGCCCTTATCCTTCACAGCAGGACACTAACCTAAGTGGCTCATGTTTATGAATGCCAACAAGCAAAATTTGGGAATGCACAGTGGCCATTATTCTAGAGAATTCATTAGAATTCTCACACAGACTCACAGAATAAAAAACGTTTACAGAGCACTGTTGTCGGAAACTCAACGGCCTAGAATTCATGTGTAGGCCTTTGATGTTATCCTCTATATAAATAAAGTTTTATTGGAGCACAGCTATAACCAAATATATAGGTATTGTCTGTGGTTTTAAAGGCAGGAGCTCCAGCAGACAATACAGCCCACAAAACCAAAAATACTTATTATCAGACTGTTTAGAGTCTGTACAAAAGTTGCTGGAGATTAAAAGCAGCCTCTAACTACTGTCCACACAAGAGTTGTGGTAATATACAAAAAGGACTATTTCTACTAAATCACAGAAAACATACATCTGTAATTTTTTTATAAACCAGTACATTTTTCTCATTTGTACACTATCTGAAAAATACTGTAGATAGTTATTAACTCCGGTACAGTTCATCCTATTAGGGTATATACATGATACAATAATGTTTTTTAAAAAGTTTTTAAAAACTCATTTATCCTGCTCAAAGAGTAAAGAATGCTCCTGAGGATATGCCCTCATCCCACCCTCACCCAAAAACCGTGAGTTGTTTTCTTTAGAAGAAAAAATATTTTGAGAAATATGCAACAGCATAGGGATAATCAAACTATCAATTGACAGATGACAAAAAAGTAGTCTAGAAGTTTTACTGTTCACAAGGTGTCTAAGTTTAAAAATTCTAAACCAAGTAAAGTAACTCATGCCTATAATCTCAGCCCTTGGGAAGTGAGGCAAAAATATGCAGTGAGTTTGAAACCATGCCAGGCTGGGTACATAGTAAGTTCCAGGCCAGCAAAGGCTACAGAGTAAGACCCTGTGTGTGGGGGGGGGGTTAAAGTGTCAATTTCCATACATTCCACAAATGCATAGGCTTGGTTATAATTATATAACCAAGTGTTATTTCACCAATAATCTCCATGAAAAAAACGAAGTCCAAGAAGAAGATTTAAACTGAAACAAGTTCAAAAGTATAAATAAATGCTTGTTAGAAAATGTTTCTATATTTGTAGAAATGCAGATAAGTCCATTCAGAGTAAATAGCCACCACTCATGCCATTCATACATCTTCAGAACTACAGTAAGCTTACTACTACATTGCAGTTTAGATTATCAAGTAAAATATCTGCCCACACACTACTCTAATATTTGAAACTGGGAACAGCTACCCTGCACATTCTTGTAATAACAAAATCTATGTTTTTTTAAAAATCAATGATTTTTTTTTAAGTAAATGCTGACTACTTAACGTTTGTGGTAAGCCAGCGCTGAAAGGCAGCAACTGCAACCACCAGAGGCCCGGAAGTGGGAGAAGAGTCCTGGCAGCACTTACTCACTGAGTGGAAATGCTCTGCACTTCGGCTTATTTGAAATTGCGATGCTGGCTTTTAATTTAGTAGGGAAGGGCATGCCAGCCATGGGGCCTCTGCTCCCCTCCTCCGCTGTGTGCGGCCATCATCAGACCAGGGTCCTTTTCCTTCTGTTTTACTACTGGAGAGAAATCCTCTTAAGTGTCCAGTCAAGAAAACGTGGTTATGGGAAAGGAGTGGTGTGAGACAGGTATTATCCAGATAAGTGGTAGTTCAGATTACAAAATAGGTCTGTTTGTCTGAAATTAGTCTTGACTTTTTAAACTCACGACTATCTTAACCATAGTAAGTCTGCCAAACTGCCATGAAAAAAAAGTGTCTACCGAAGTTTCTTCTGGCAATTCTTGGTTTTCAGTTTCAGATGATCTCGGGGTAAAGCCCCAATCAGTCACCGACTATATTTAATTTGCTGACCAGGTTCGTTTCTTATCTACTTTGGTTTCGGTGGAAGCGGTGACTTCAAGCTGAGCCCGAGTCTTGAAAGTTAACAAAGGGCGCAAAGGAAACCAGAGCCCCCTCCCTCTATTTTTATGCACTGATTTCACAAGACTGTGAGCCTCGGCCCTTCTTTCCACAGGCCCACATCCTCTGAGAAACTTGGCCTCCCTCCTCCAGTCCAGGGCAGCAGTAGGAAGTACCCGCCCCCCTGGGTTAGGGCCGGGTGTCCGCGCCGTCCATTGGCTGCAGTGGCTGTCAGTGCTCTAAAGGGCGGGGTCTCCCACCTTAGAGCGGAATCTGAGGACTGCATGGTCACTGGGTCCCAGATTCCCCTCCACTCCATCCCAGAGTCCCTTCACCTCTTTCTCCACAAGCCCTTCTCTCGCTCCCCCCATCCACTTTACTGCCCCTCTAAGAAGTAAAGTTTTCCCAAACGTCCAACATCCCCCCAGAAAGCAGAGGATGCAACGGTTTGGCTAGGGATGTAAAATCAAATTGTGAATCGGATCTCTCGGGGTATAGCAGAGAGCTGTGAAGATCAAATAACTACTTAGGTTACATGCCAATTAAATCAAGTGCACCGTCACCAAATACTGCAGTCATGAATACCAGCAAAAATGCGACAAAGCACTGCAGGCTTAACTGTATTTTTATTCACCATTTTCTGAGGTTTTTCCGGTTGTCACAAACAGATGGCAAATTTTTGAGTGTGGGTACTAAGCCTCTCTTGGGTCATATGTCCAGAAGACAACAGACTCATAATACACATATTCTGAATATTATTCAGTAAAGCAACCTATCAAAGCACACCGTCGTGAACGGCTGTAGGTAATATGCCTACTGGGAACTGCAGATTCCTTGGAGGAGAAACTAAAGAGTGGGTCCTAACAATACTCTAGAAACTACGAGTCTCTAATTTTTTTCATTACAACCTTTAAGATGAGCAACCTCAAAGAGAAATAAAAAAGTCATTTCATCTCTATACTGTTTTTTCCGTCACCAGAATAGTAAACATATCTTACTCTAAAATAAATGTGTTCTCAGCGCGTAGCTAGGGCAAAGTCTACGCGAGTACATATGTGAGTCCGTAAAAGCATCCACTGTGGGTCTTCCAAGGCCTCCAGCACCAGGCGGCCGCAGGCGGCATTGCTCGGCAGCATCCTCCACTGCCTTCTAACTTAACTAGGCCCACTTTGTGACTCGGCTCAGACTTTGCTGCATCCCAGCGCAGGATCGGTCCGGATCCGTTCCCGACCCTGCAACCCCGCCACCCACACTCCCAGGTCCGTGAACTTCACTTTTCTAAATTGGGCTGCAGCCGAATCGGTTGAGCCAATCCGCGAGCGGTAAATAGCCACGGCGACCAATGAGCTCGGCTCGGAGGCGGGTCTTAGCTGGAGTTCCTCCTGTCGGAGCTCGGAGACCTGTTGCCGCCGCCACCACCGCAGCTGAGCTTCCCCCGGGTTCGCGGAGCCTGGGAGCCGATCTCCCGCCGCCAGCGGCCCGCACCGCCCTCCACCAGCTGCAGGAGGCCCGGCCCGACCTCGGAGGCACGTGAGCCCGAGGCTCCACGCGGCCCGCCCGCTCCCAGCACCGGCCCCACCCGGCCGGGCCGTGCAGACTCACCGGGACGGCGGGGCAGCTCGGTCCACGCGGGCTGCAGGGCTGCGGGCTGCGGGACCCCTGGCCGATCGCCTCCGCCCGCGCCGCTGCAGGCACCGGCTCCCACCCCGCTCGGCCGGCGCTCACCACTGCGAGCCTAGCGGCGGCCCATCCTCCCGACTCCGCTCCTCCTCCCGCGGCCGCGGCTGTCAGGAGGGTAAACATCCCGGCATCCCCGAGGAGAGGGCGGGCCGCCGCAGGCCCCTCCCCGCGCCCGCACCCTGCTCGGGAGCCCACGCCGCTGCTTTCCCGAGAACTGGGGTGTGCCTCGCTTATGGCGGTCGGCCCCTGCCTCCACATCACCGTGTTTTGATCCAATTCTCTTTTACCTACTGATTTAAGCTGCCTCTTCACCGTGTCCGTGCAAGGAAACGAGAGTTCTCGAGTCTGGCTAAGCCAACCTTGACTTTAACGTCCCAGCATTAGGAATGCCTTGCAGGACTCTTGCGAAAGTTGAACTACCTGCTACTATATGCAGGATCTTTGAGATATGGGCATACTTTTCAAGTGGAATTACAGAAATATTACGTTGCATAAATATATTTTACACGTCACATGTTTGCAATATGGGTCTGCTTCTGGTACATGGAGCTGCTGAAAAAGCAAAGCTTTGATTCCTACTGTTTCACTATCCAGATTTGAACTACTCGGGTATCCAGCTAGGAGGCAGTGTAGAGTCTGTCATGCCTGGATTCTGGTCTCCTCTGAGTGGTCGGCCAGTCATTTAACTTCCAGTTGTCAAGGTCTTTGTCTTAGAAATGAGATACATTAGCGTTTGAGCGCTGAGCCTACCCATTCGGTATTACTACGTCTTTCTCTGACTTTATTCCACAAAGAAAGTAGAGCCAAAATCGGGATGATAGCTCAAATATGTTTAAACGATGGAATAAGGATTTAGGAAGTTGAGGCCAGTCGCATGGCTCAGGAGGTCAAAGCCCTTACTACCAAGCCTGATGACCTGAATTTGATTCCCAGGACCCACGTGATGGGAGGGAACTGACTCCCAACAAGTTGTTTTCTGGCATCCGCATTGCAATGTGGCACATATACCACAAGTGCGCCTGTGTGAAGTATAATTAGAAAAAAAATTGCAAACTTTAATTTTAGAAAGAAAATTAAGATTCCAAGAGGAGATGTTTGGTACAAGTAGCGTAAACTACACAAATGTGCCAGATGGAGTTCTAAGACTGCTCAGTGATGCACCTACATGCATCACTGTTTTCATAAACTTTAATGAGAAAGTCTAAAATACTTAATGTCTTTTATATCTGATGACAAGTCATAAAGAAACAAAGTGGGGGGGCTGCTTTAAATACGTTTATCTGGAAAAGCCACTTGGCAATTGAGCAGAGGTCTGTAGAAGTTAGAAAAGGAGTCATGTGACTGTTACGAGTCACGTGACTGTTGGGAGATAGAATGTTTTGTACAGAAAAGGCAAAGTTACCCTGTATGGAAGTTGGTTTGCCGTGATTGAGAGACAGGCAGGAAATCAATGTAGGCAGAATCCAGTTAGCAAGGGAGAGTACCTGATGAAATAAGAGGGGGCGAGATACCAGAGATAGGTGTAGAATTTTGAACTCTTATCCTTTATTGTGACTGAAATGGAAAGCCATTACAGGAGGAAACTGAGAGAAAATAACACTGTGGAGAATATACTGCAGGAGGGAGAAACTAGTAGTTGAAAAAGGATAATAATGGTCCCTGAAAAATGTATCTGTCAGGCTGAGACCAGTATGCTAGCAGACCTCGCGTGTATTTCCATGGCCAAGCCAACACGATTTGCTGGCATATTGAATGTGGTGTATGAGAGAAAGATAGGAGGAAGCCAGTATGTTGGCATTTGAACCAAATCATATGGTCATGTCCCACCAAATCAGTGATAGAAACAATGTCATTTGAGTTGCCATAGCTTATAGAAAAATTAACAGACATCTTCAAGGCAAAATTCAATATGGGACTAGATGCGTGATTCATAGCTTGCTCTTACTATTTTTGATACTAGCATATTAGAAAATATAGCTTGATAGGTACCTTGTACAATAGCCCACTTTTAAACGCACCACCAATTTCTCTGCAGACTAAATAGCCTACTGATAAGCAAACATGATACTTAATGAACACTGCGGGAATACTTCATCCTATCCTCCTCCCATACACCGAATTCTACATGCCAGCAAATGTTGTTGGCTCCATTATGGAAATACATCTGAGGTCTGCTAACACACTGATCAAATTGCGTAGAAATTAGCTCAAACATTCATAATGGCTGCAAAGACTTTCTCTAGGGAGAATCCCTTTGGTGTTATGTGGTGTCCAAAGAATTAAAATACTCTAACATGCCCTATTTTTTCCACTAGAAAAGGCTTTATGGCTACAGATAAATAGTAATCAGAGTTTCAAGACTGGGAAGAGGGTCAAAACAAAAGACACTATACTTTTTCTTTCTAAATTTATATCACCTTTGTTGTGTGTGAACAAGGTTATTCCCAGTTGCCAGCTTCCTGGCCTGAAGCAAACGCTAATGGAAAAGCAGAGGAGACTGCCCAAGGAGGCTCCTCTGGTCCAGGACACTTGAGAGCAGAAGGCAGCTTTAACTGCTTTTCCATTCATCTCCTCTGAGCTTGCTCCCAATTGCTGCTTTAGCTCCATGATATGTATTAATTACAGTCCTTTGTATGAATGACCTGATATTTATACATAATTACCATGCAACACATATATTACATAGCAGATAAACTTCATTATAAATAGTGTTTAGATTTCATGCTTAAAACCTCACAGTTCTTAACCAAGTCTTCGGGTTTGTTTGTTTGTTGTTGTTGTGGTTTTTCATATAGATCTGCAGGCCCCACGCAAGAAAAAAAATTATCATCAGTATTTATGCTGAAAACCATTTCTTCATAAACTAACCCAAAACAGATGTTGCATACCAGTTTTGGCATAAATGTAATTTCTCCATAAGGAAAGAAACTTATGAGGGAAAAAATTGTTCCCTGAAGAAGAATGATGAAGTAATATTAAAAATAATTCTCCTTTGAGAGGAACCTGGCCACTGGGGGAGACGGGAAAGGTCTAGTCTTCTTGATTCAAACATAGAAACATAGCATTGGTAGCAGGTGCACTTGAAAAGCTACTAGCGAGACTGGCAGCCATGAAGCTTGGCAGCTAAATGGTGATGAGGCTTAGTCAAGCTGTTGAAATGTCTGGACTACCCTGGGCCAAGAGGAGGAAGTCAGAGGAACAGACTGCAGACAGCCCAAGGGAGATCACTTTTCTCTGGCCTTGGCTTGTGGTCACTGTACAGTGTCAGAAAGTGAACACGATGCTTTGAAAACACCCATGAAAAATATTAGCATGTTTCCTTTTCACATTTAATGGCTCCTTGCAATTGTTAGTGGATTGTTAGCAGATGAGCTTGAAATAAAAACTGCTAAATCCATATTGATTTTTCCCCACACAAATTCCTAGAATTCACAATTGCAGAGACACAATGTTACTGTGTCCCAATTATTGAGCTATGATAACTTGGGGATACAGTGCTTGATTTAAAATAGAGGCATACTGACCATGACTTTTCCATGGCTATTTTTGTGGTAGTTGGGAAACTGAAGAGATGTTTTGAAATACATTTTAAATATAAAACACTGGGATGGACTTGTGCAAAACAGAAAGCCATCAGTCCAAGCAGCAGCTTGGGTTTGTATCACAACTCGTTTGCTCAACGGAATTCCACTGAATTTAGGTTTCTCTCCTTCCACAAAAGTCCAAGGACCAATATGCAATGGGCACAAAGAACAATGTGGGAAATATATTAAGAAGTTACACCCTATCCTGTGGAGCCAAACTATGAAGTCATTCACAAACGCAATTTCCTCAGGAGCTGTGGCACCTCCAGCCATCACCACAGTTTGCAAGTACCTCTCAGTTATCTATACTGTCAGAAATCCAGGTCAATAAAGTAATCAAATCTCAAGGATAGTTTTTTTAATTGCAGGTTTCTTTGTAGCGTGAGCATATGCTTTTGTGTCTACTTGGAAATAAGATGTTACAAATGCCTTGTCATTTTACACAGCTAGATGGAAAGGCTTCAAAGTATTGGGCTTAATTTTTCCCATTCTCCCTCCCTCCACCTCTTCTCAGAGGCGTCATTCTGTGTTCCTCATTCCAGCTTTAGAATGTGCCAGACCCACTCAGATGTGGACAATAGGAGCAGTGGTCTATTTCCTAACAGGAATGAGAGCGAGACAATAAGTACTTCTGTTTAGCTTCAGGGTTTCCTCATACTTGCATTGAGAGGCTTACCTCAGGTTACATTTGCAAAGTCTACCCCTAACACTTTCAGTGAAAAGAGTGAAAGTCGATACCTGGCTTCCTCTTTGCAACCCTCTTTGTTCATATTTAAGTATTGATGGCTTACAACGTGCATTTCTTCAATCTTCTACTTAACGACAGAAGTATAAAATACGCCAGCCATTTTTTTTTCAGCAGTTCAATTGGGTGCTAATGTTCAGGCTGCTCGGAAGCCCAGGGTGTGAGTAAAATCAGATGTGGAATAGTGCCCCCATTGAATCCAAAGGTATTACTGGAAGCGGTCTCCACGTGCTGTAGAACAATGAACCTAGTCAATCATAAACAGCCTCTGCAACCTTTGTGATTCCACCACTGAATTCACCACTGGCTGACGACATCCCAATTATGGAAATGTTTCCTCTACTCTCTTAACTATTGCTGTGTTCATGCAAAAATAAGCATTGTGTCAAATAAGAAGCTCAGAGAATGAGACTTACAGACTAGTGTTGTTTCCAAGGCTTGGGAATTTGACACTGCAGATACCATTCAAGTGGCACTGAGGCAAATCTGTACATATCCATCAGCTTATGGTGTAATCTGCTTTCTAAAAGCATGGAAGGCAAACAGTAGAATGTTCCTCAAAATAACCCTGTTTGAATAGAATTATTATATTTCTCCTTCTGTATTAGTTACCACTGTAAAACTAGTAGCTTGTTTAATCTACAGAATTTTTAAATTATTAAATGAATGCCTAAGTTTTCATTAATGTTTTAGGTTAGCATATAGCTTAATACTTTTTATGGTACTTTCATAATATGTGCCACTATAATTTTTCTAATGCACCCCTTCTACTTACCCCCCCCATTCC